ACCATACTGAACATCTGCCTAAAGATCACAAGTCATGCACTGGGTAAGTGGTGTGTAAATAACCTCAACAAAAGAACAATGTATATATTTATATAGCGTCCTTCTTGGTGGGCAGTGTCTTAAAAGCATTTAACAGTGGCCTGAAGCCGAGCTGGGAGAAGGTGACCTCCCTCACTGAGCGAGGTGTTAGAGCCACTCACTGTGTGCACCAGGTGAGGTGTGTAAAGCCACTCACTGTGTGCACGGGGTGAGGTGGGTAAAGCCACTCACTGTGTGCACGGGGTGAGGTCTGTAAAGTCACTCACTGTGTGCACGGGGTGAGGTGTGTAAAGCCGCTCACTGTGTGCACGGGGTGAGGTGTGTAAAGCCGCTCACTGTGTGCACGGGGTGAGGTGGGTAAAGCCACTCACTGTGTGCACGGGGTGAGGTGTGTAAAGTCACTGTGTGCACAGGTGAGGTGTGTAAAGCCACTCACTGTGTGCACGGGGTGAGGTGTGTAAAGCCGCTCACTGTGTGCACGGGGTGAGGTGGGTAAAGCCACTCACTGTGTGCACGGGGTGAGGTGTGTAAAGCCACTCATTGTGTACAGGGGTGAGGTGTGTAAAGCCGCTCACTGTGTGCACGGGGTGAGGTGTGTAAAGCCGCTCACTGTGTGCACGGGGTGAGGTGGGTAAAGCCACTCACTGTGTGCACGGGGTGAGGTGTGTAAAGTCACTCACTGTGTGCACGGGGTGAGGTGTGTAAAGCCACTCATTGTGTACACGGGGTGAGGTGTGTAAAGCCACTCATTGTGTACACGGGGTGAGGTGTGTAAAGCCACTCACTGGAGATGATGATTCGCGTCTCCAGCAGCTTTTCAAATCTGCCGCCGTTGAAACTGTCCGTGACGTACTTCCACTTCCGGCGAGGTAGGTACCCACCACAGCTGACATGCGCACTGTGACCCTCCATGCTGACATGCGCACTGTGACCCGGGTTTTGCCAGACAACGAAGAGCCTTCAAAGTCCCACTGAGCGCGAACCTGGAGAGTTGCCCAATATTACAGGTTCACCTCCTGTAGGTTTAGGTTTAGTGCTTTTTAAAAAAAAGTGTAGGAAAGTCTTCAATGGCGGGGGGGGGCGGGGGGGAGGAGGGGGCGGGACGTTTTTCAGGTTTAAATTAAAAATTAGACGACCGACCGCGCAAAGTCGTTTTTTCACGCGCAATTCCAGAAAAAACAAATCGACCAGTGCCCAAACTGAGCTCTGACCTGCGCACTGTCACCAAACGGACCGTCGACGGGCCTTCTCGCTCTTTGACATGCGCACTGGGTGTGGCCGACAGAGGCAGTGATGAGGGGGGCGGGGGAGGGCGATGAGGGGGGGCGGGGGGGGGGGGCGATGAGGGGGGCGGGGGGGGCGATGAGGGGGGGGCGGGGGGTGATGAGGGGGGCGGGGAGGGTGATGAGGGGGGGCGGGAGGGGGGGCGATGAGGGGGGGCGGGGGAGGGCGATGAGGGGGGGGGGGGGGTGATGAGGGGGGCGGGAGGGCGATGAGGGGGCGGGGAGGGTGATGAGGGGGGGCGGGGAGGGGGGCGGGGGGGGCGATGAGGGGGGGGCGGGGGGGCGATGAGGGGGGTGGGGGGGTTGATGGGGTTATGGTGTGTGGTGGGGGGGTGTGGGGGGGTGATGGGGTGGGGGGTGTGTGTGTGGGTGATGTGGGGGGGGTGTGAGGGGGTGTGGGTGATGGGGGGTGTGGGGGGTGTGATGGGTGGGGGTGGTGGTGAGGGGGGGGGTGTGGGTGATGTGGGGGGGTGTGGGGGTGGTGGTGATTGGGGGTGTGTGTGGGTGAGGGGGGGGTGTGGGGGTGGATGAGTGGGGGTGGGGGGGGTGAGGTGGGGTGGTGTGGGGTGAGGGGGGGTGTGGGGGGGGGTGTGTGGGGTGTGTGGGGGGGTGGGGTGTGGGGGTGTGTGTGGGTGAGGGGGGAGTGTGTGGGTGAGGGGTGAGTGTGTGGGTGAGGGGTGTGGGTGAGGGGTGTGTGGGGGTGAGGGGGGTGTGTGGGTGAGGGGTGTGTGTGTGGGTGAGGGGGGGTGAGGGGGGTGTGTGTGGGTGAGGGGGGTGAGGGTGTGTGTGTGTGAGGGGGGGTGAGGGGTGTGTGTGTGGTGTGGGGGGTGATGATGGGGGGTGGGGGGGGGGTGAGGTGGGGTGTGTGTGGGTCAGGGGGGGTGATGATGGGGGTGGGGGGGGGTGAGGTGGGGTGTGTGGGGGTGTGTGGGGGGGTGTGAGGGGGTGTGTGTGGGTCAGGGGGGTGATGATGGGGGGTGGGGGGGGTGAGGTGGGGTGTGTGGGGGTGAGGGGGCGGTTGGTTTCTCCTCTCGCGGCTCTCGCGGGTTGTGGACATGCGCAGAACGTCGGGGAAGTTTGAAGTGAGTTTGCGCGCTTTCGGCGACGAGAGAAAGAGCGGAAGAACCGTAAGTAAAGTCAGTCCCGGGGCCTCCCCCCCCCTCCCTCCCTCCCCTCCCCCTCCCCCTCCCTCACTCACTGTAGTCACTCTCCTGTTGTTTTATATATATATATATATCTATAGTTACCGTATTTATTTTGGGGGTAAAGCGGGGCTTTCCCGCCCCCTCTCTCGCCGAGTGAGCCCAGAGTTGCCGGGGCCTGAGAGAGAGGGAGAGGGCAATGGTGGTGGTGAGGGGTTGGGGGGGAGATGTCCTCTCTCCTCTCCTCTCCTCTCCCGCTGCTGATCTCACACACCAACTCCCTGAGACCCGATCTCCTCACGGACGGTTCGCGGGTCAGAGGCCGTGAGCCTTCCCCTCTCCATCTCTCCCACAACAACAGCAGCAACAACAACAACAACAACAACTTCCACTTACACGGGTAACATCGGATGTGCAGCTACACTGAAGCGCACACAACTGCGCTGTACCGTGTGTGTGCCCTGTGGGGCCGGACCTGCCTTACACACAGAGAAGAAGAAGGGGGAAAAAAAAGAGCCTTTTTTTTTTCTTTTTTTTCCTCATCGAAAGGCTTCTTCTCCCTTCCCCTCTGCCCCGACAACGTGGAAAATAAAATGCTCGGGATTTATCAAATGCTTTGCCTTCCACTTTTCCACATTGTCTGGGACCCCACTCCCACTCCCACTCCCCCCCACTCCCACTCCCCCCCCTTATTCATGTACCCCCACTACACCACTCACCCATTCAATGTCACCGGCAGTGACTCAGCCCTCAGTCTCTAAGCCTATAACCTCTGCAACTTGTCACCTATATTCACTTTAATACAGTCAATTCACTTTACAGTGTGTTCTGTGAAGCGCTTTGGGACGTCCTCTCGACGTGAAAAGCGCTATATCAAATGCAAGGATTATTATTATTATTATTATGTCACTTCGTCTGCCCCCCCTTCTCCACCTTTAAATCCCATCTGAAAACGTAACTTTCCGCAGCCTTCCGAGTTTCCGTCACGCGCAGAAATTCATCACCGTGCTTAAAGGTATTCAAGCCAAACTGGTGATTCCGTGCAGCCCGTCGATGATGCATAGAAATTCCTGAGATATTTATTGGAATGGCAGGTGCATCTCTTCTCTGGAGGTTCAGATCGCACCTCTCACACCGCCTCCACTTCATCTCCACAAACGGCTTCTCCTCTCG